CCTATAGCGAAAACCTCTCCAAAAAAAAAAAAATTATTTAACTTTATTTGGTACATTTATTTATGTATTTATTTATTTATTTTAACCAGAGAGAGGCAAAGAGAGAGAGAAAGGGAAAGTGAGAAAGCCAAACCACCAGGGCCAAGACATGAACCGCAGTCGGCCATGTGGAATACAGTGTCACAACCACCATGTCACCTACCGGCCCCGATATTTTTTTTTTCTCTAGAGAGGTTTTTCTATAGGGCACATGTGCTTGACAGAGAGACAGACAGAGAGTGAGAAATTACTCGGGGATGGCCATGCTGCAATCCCTTCTCCTCCATTGTCCTTTTGGATCTTGGGCATGTGTACACAGGCACCCAGCATGTTTTAAGCTGCTGGGTCATGGACTTGAACCATGGTCGACTATGTGGAAATTCAGCTACATATCCATTACGCCATCTGCTAGTCTCACGAAACAAGAATTCTAAGCTATCAGAAGAATGAACGCTGTATTTATCTGAGATGCATGCTAGTGTCGTATGAACCATTTGTATTATAGTGTCGGTTCTGGTACTTTGTATCCTTGTTCTAGGAATTTCACCTTCTCAGACTTCAAACACAAGACGTATTAGCAGGGGGGTGTCAGTCACAAGACCCCAACCTCTTGGTGGGGAGCAATCGTGTGACTCAAGCAAAGGCAATCGAGGTACTTTCCTGAGATCTTTCAGTTGAAGTTGGAGAACCCCTGGAGTTATGAATCAGTAAAGAGCTGATGTTGGTGAGGATGGCGACCTTGTTTCCAGCCACTCAGAGAAGGTCTGCCTGCTCTATGGGAGAATGAGCCAAGCAGATACGAGCAAAGTGGCGAGGGATAGAGAGCTCTGGTTTAGTCTCTGATCCTTAAAAGGACATGTAGAAATGAGCTCTGAATGGCTCAGAACAATTAGGGAAAATAAGTCAGTAAAGAGAATCCAAATGTAAGTGACTCATCGAGAACACTTAGCGCAGCAGAGATGTAAACATGAGACATTTTCCCCACTCACTGCGGTAACTACCTTTCTCAACTTTTCATTTGTTTTGGCAGATTCCATAACTTTTTTTTTGCCACATTCAATGTTCAGACACAACCAGGTCATGTTCAAAATACCAGTCTTGGGGTCAGCAGGTGGTATGGTGTTTAAGGTGCTGGACTCCAACATGGCTGACTGTGGTTCAAGTCCTGGACCTGGTGGCTTGAAACTCATGCTGGGCATGTGTCCATGTGTGCCCAGATCCTGAGAAGAGAATGGGAGAGAAGGGATTCCAGTGTGGTCATCCCTTCCGGAGGTGATTTCTCACTTTCCCTCTCTCTGAGAAGCAAGTGTACACTATAGCAAAGTCTAAAAACACCCCCATACAACAATAACAACAAAAAACACCAATTTTGGGGCCAGCTCGTGGTGTGATGGAAAAGGTGTTGGACTCCCAGTTGACTGACCACAGTTCAAGTCCTGGATATAGCACTTTGCTTTTCCCACTTTCTCTTTCTCTCTCTGTGTTTCTCTCTGGTGAGCACACATGCCCTATAGCAAATTAAAATAATAATAATAATAAACAAAATTTAAAACAAAACACCAATCTTGGGCCAGCCTCATTGCCTAGTGGTTAAGGGAGTCAGATTCCACATGACCAACTGTGGTTCAAATCCTGGCCCAAGTACCTTGAAAAACACACTGAGCACATATGCATGCTTGCCCCAAATTACAAGAGACATAGAGAAGGGATTATGGCATGATCATGCCCCATTGGGGGTGCTTTCTACCCCTGTGTTTCTTATTTTTCTCTCTCTGTCTTTGGTCAGTGTATGCACCTTCTGGCAAAGTGGGGAATATATATATATTTATATATAATTTATATATATATATATAAAACTTCTGGGCCAGCAGGTGGAGTGGAGGTTAAGGCACCTGGATCCTACCATGGCTGACAGTGCAACTCGAGTCCCAGACCCAGCAGCTTGAAAAAACACACCGTGGCATGTGCATGTGTGCCCAAAATCCTGAGAGGAGATTGGAGAAGAGACTGCAGCAGGGCCATCCCTCTTATGGGATGATTTTTCAACTTTCCCTCTCCCTTTTTCTATCTCTTTTTGATGAGTACATGGGCCCCTAATAGTAAAACTAAAAAAAAAAAAATATAATACTTTTTCTCAGAATGTTTGTCCATGATTATAGGTATTTGAGTCATGCCTATCTTAATAGCCTTTAGATATATCATTATGAAAACCAGTAAAATAACATGAGTAAGATACATTTTAGAAAAGCTACATGATAGAGTTTGAAAGCTGGCAGCGATGGCACTGAAATGTCTTCTAAATTTGTCTTTTTCCTGAATAAAATGCATTGGTTTTTTGAGACATTGTAGCCTTTATATTAAGAACTCAGGCCTTTGAAAGCAAGAGAGCTTTAGGAATGTATAGATGGCCAAAGTGACATTGTCTACAGGATTGTTGTTGCGTGAGGTTGCATGGGATTTTAGAATGAATTGCAAGTACCATTTATCAGCAGAACCTGAATGTATTTGAAAAGATCTCACAATTAGTAAAGATTTAATGTATACTCTTATAAAATAAGATTAACATACTATTTTTTTTTTGGAGAAGTTTTTGCTACAGGGTGCATGTGCTTGCCAGAAAGACAGAGAGACAGAAACCAAGAAGTCACCCCCCAGGGGGGAGGGCCATGCCACAATCCCTTCTCCTTCATTCTCCTGGGATTTGGGGCACATGTGTACACATACTTGGTGTGATTTTTTTTTTTTTTTCAAACTGGATCCAGGACTTGAACCACAGTTGGACATATGGGAGTCCAGTACCTTAGCTACTACACCACTTGCTGGCTCTGCTATTTCTTTTTCAACTACCCTGACTGTTACCACTATCACTCGGGCCTCACACTCATCATATAGTAGGAGACAAAGGTAAGTACATGATTTTCACAGGAAAGTACTTACCAATGAAATTTCTTTCTTTTTTTTTTTTTTTTGGAGAGGTTTTTGCTATAGGGCGCGTGCGCTCGCCAGATAGACAGAGAGAGACAGAGAGACAGAAAGCGAGAAATCACCCCTCAGGAGGGATGGCCACACCGCAATCCTTTCTCCTCCATTCTCCTCTCGGGATCTTGGGCACGCACGCACACGTGCCCGGCGTGAGTTTAAGCCGCCGGGCCCGGGACTCGAGCCACGGTCGACTACGTGGGAGTCCAGCGACATAGCCTTTACACTAACTGCTGGTCCCCACCAATGAAATTTCTTAACTGTTGGTCAAATTAATTGGTTTCTCTGGTATTTGTAGGGCATTGATGACATCACGGGTGAACCATTGGTCCAGCAGGAGGATGATAAACCCGAAGCAGTTGCTGCCAGGCTAAGACAGTACAAGGATGTGGCAAAGCCAGTTATTGAATTATACAAGTGAGTGCGCCGTTATTTTCATGGCAGAGGGCCGACTAGAAAGGCGTGAAGCTCACTGGGAAGGACATTGGACCAAGGTGGGGCAGTGTTTCTTTAGGCTAAACTCAAAAGGCCAGTACTACTCCAGAAGGCAGATGAAATGTTGAACTTGTACATGAGAGATACAGTTTAGAACTTTTACCCTAAAACGGTTAGAATATAAAGACAAATACCTGATCATCGTTTTATATTTGGCTGTAAAATTGCATCTAGAGTTATTTTCATTTTCCTTAAGTGGCTAAAATAATCATCTATATGTTTACATTCTCACATGTAAATATCTGATCTAGATAGAAGATTTAAAAGGACTTTTGGCCTGGACATGTCTGTATGGAGTTTAACAAAAACAAAGCTAAAACCATAACCTAGAGATGACAAAGTCAGTGGCTACAGGAGCCCAGCATGTGTTGGAAATAAGCTTCAGTCCTGGTGGAAGATGTGTCAAACTGGACAGCTGAGTGACAGTTGAACTGGATAGCTCCTGGCTGGTCCAGCCAGTTATCACTCCTGGAGCATGCCAGTGTGGCCAGGGACTCCTCTTTTTAGAAGTAGAAATATGTTCTCTGTGTGGAAAAGAAATTCCAATTTTATGTCAACAAATAAAAAACTTTTAAAAGGCACACAAGCCAAGCAAAACCATATGCTGACTGCATTCAGGACAGCAGCTTTTAGGCTCGCTATAATCAACTTCCGGCCTTTTCATCCTCAATTCAGTCAGCAAAACCTTTGGAAAAGAGTTCATTTCTTTGTTGTGATTTTTTTAAAAAAAATTATTGATTCAATTTTATGTATTCATTTATTTTCATTTGACCAGAGAGAGACACACAGAGAGAGAGGGAAGGTGAGAAAACAAGCCACCAAGTCAAGGACTCAAACTGTGGTCAGCCATGTGGGAGTGTCCAGTGCCTTAACCACCATGCCACCTATTGGCCCCTCATTGTTTTGATTTTAATTTTAATTTTTATAAAGCAAAATTTTTCTCATTATATTATTAGGATACAGTCTATCTTTCAAGATTGATTTGTCATAATTATTATAATAAGGGTTTTAACACCAAAGTGAGTCAGTGATTTGCTTTGAAAAATATATATTAAGGCAGGTTTGGGATTGCTCCACACTCTTTGGTATGTTTTAATGGGAAGAAAAGAAGACATCATGACAAGGGCTCCAGAACTAAAAAGCGATGGCTGTATTTAGGTGCATTCCGTGATGGTGTTTATGTGCTGAAGGGCCTGTTTGGCACTTAGCAATGTGTGATAGAGACCGTGAAGTAGTGCTTGTTTTATATCTAGAGTCTTCATCTGCCCTAACATGTTCCAAAGACACCTAACACGACTTTGTATGTTGGGCTTTGTTTTTCAGGAGCCGCGGAGTGCTCCACCAATTTTCTGGGACGGAGACTAACAAAATCTGGCCCTATGTTTACACGCTTTTCTCAAACAAGATCACACCGATTCAGTCCAAAGAAGCATACTGAGCGTGCCCCACGGGAGAACCAAGAAGATGTGGTCATTCATTCACGTGTGTGTATAGTATTGGTGCCGTGTCCAAATTAGAAGCCAGCTGAGATAGCTTGCAGCGTCTTTTCTAGTTTAAATGATGAACTCACAGGAAGACTAATGAGTAGAGAGTGTTCACGAAGAGGCCTCCTTCTACCTTTCAAAAGGGCCACTGGTGCACGTTCACGGGGTCTCTGCACATGTCTCAGGCTCGTCACAAGAAAACACGTACAGGCTGGTTCCAAATGGTGTACAGCCTGTGCTCTGACAGACTTTCGACTGCCGTGTTGTTACAGTAGCCTGTTTATATGTGATGGCGGTGCTCTGTGGGTCTCTCCATTCTCTAAGGCTGTTGAGCAACAGGACCCGTTAGCCTGAGAATGCCCCATGCTCTGTCTTGGGCTGTGCCCCAGGTTCTGTGGTGTGTGCCCTCCTGGTGACAATGGAATCGAAGCTAATTGCTCTCAGTGGTTGCTTTTCTGAGTGACTGTGTCCACAATGCATTTTTTATGGTAGGAGTGACTCCTTATTTTCCGCCTCTATGCTCCATAGACTCTCCTTCATCCTAGGATGAAAGTATTTGGCTTATCCTATTTTTTTTAGACCGTTTTTTTTTTTTTTTCCCATCTTTTTCTCTCTTCCAACACTTTACATATAGGCTGTTAAATAATACAGATAGTTATTGCTTTTATCCCTTTCAAACTCATTTATTGTAGAACTGAGAGTTAGGAGATTAAATTGAATCTCTATGCACCAGGAACTGGGCTATGCAGAGGATCATACTTAAACTACTGGTCTGACTCATAGGTTGACACTGTTCCCCTTTTGTATTTTGAAAAAGTTAAATCCCCTAGTCTTTGGGAATCCTCAAAAAAAAAAAAAAAAAGCCATGAGAAATATTCACTTACATACATGTTCAAAGTTTATATCATATATATAGAAGTAATAAGACCATATGGAATTACTGAAGTAGTACTTAAGCTTTTTATTCAAGACAATACAATGTATTTTGAAAATGCTGCTACATAGGATGCTGATGGTGATTTTCTCTTGTGAGTGACCGTAGCATATTAAAAATAGTTGGTAAAGGGAATGGACCCTGTGGGGTTGAGGCAATTATTGCACTAACTCTGTCTAGACTGAGTGTGACAGCTTTACGTTTATGGGAAAACAGAAACTTTATTATTACTTTTTCTATTCCAAAGATGCATTCTATGGGATGGCCATAAAGTCTAGGAATATAGAAGCTATTTTGTCGCTCATTGTAATATAATATCAATAAATCATTAGTTAAAAGATTTGCCTGGTTTCCAGACTTGTGGCCATCTTGTAAAATTGTTGCTCTCTTCTGGG